ATTTTTCTGCAGGAAAAAACAGTGTTTGGCCCCTGAGTTTTAATGTTGAAATGCATAAGAGGCAACCAGCATTTCTGATCTCCCATATGTTTTAACATAACTTTTGTATGGCCCTTTTATTAAGGCCCATTAAAACTCCAACATTTCATGTTCACAGAGGAAGATGGGCATCATCTCTGCATACATCCTAAGTTGATAGATCCTTTCTTGGTAAGCCTTTCTCCGTGTTTGTGGCTATCCAGATAGCCGAATTCCATGCAGCTGGTTATGGCCTGCCACTAAAAAATTCCCTCCATTTGTTTTCAACTACAAAGCTCCCATTAAGAGCCCATGGATAACAGAAGTAAAAAAAAAGAGGGGGGGGAATAACCCAGAGCTTTTAAACAGCACAAATGTTAAAAGGTAGAGAAACGGAAAGCAGCAGGCCACTAAAAGCCATCTGCCATCTTGGCCTGCCCAGGCATCCCTTCCCCCCAGTGCTGTTTTATATTATCAGTGCCATCTCTCTGCTGTGTACAATAGAGACTCTGACGCAGGCAGAACTGCACTGCTCCTTCCAAGATGAGGATGGAGAATGCTGTCTGCTGTCTGTCCAGGGGGAGGGCCTTCTCTGTGGGGGCACCTACCCTCTGGAATCAGCTGCCCCCAGAGATAAGGAGAATCCAAGACCTCGGTGCCTTCCGCCGTGCCCTTAAAACTTTCTTTTTTCAGCAAGCTGGGCTGGCTTAACATATTTTTTTAACATATTTTTAAATTTTTAATTGGTTTGTTATCTTAAATTGGGGCCAAATTAATATATATCCTTTTAATTGTTTATATGTTTGTATTGTATGTTTTTATCTGGCTGTACACTGCCCTGAGTCCCTCGGGAGAAGGTGCGGTATATAAATTCGAAATAAAATAAAAAATAAAAATAAAATATGATGCAGCTGATTCTCCCATCCATAGAAGACCTGAGAAACAAGGCAAACTTTTGGGTTCCACAATGGTCATTCACCAATGTTCTTCCAAATAAATCTGAAATCTAACAGACTTCAATAGCAATTTCAGATCATACATAAATGAGAACAAAACATCACCAGATACTATTGCTATGAACTTTGCAGTAGAAAAGACTGCACTCTAGCACATATTGGAAAAACTGAAGGAAACTGTTCTGGCTTTCTGACAAAGAATATTTGGGAAGCATGAGTCTCCAACATTGTTGTTCTAAAAATGCCGCACAAACTTTCTTACAAAAGATATTGGGTGACTACAACCCACTGCCCCTAAATAAAGGCAAAGGCAAGCTTTGTTGGAAAAAAATATAACTTGAAGAAGATAGAAGGAGTTACATGAAGCAATCTTTCCTGTTTTCTTCCAATAAATAAGTGTTTTGTGACTAGCTGTGCCCAGTGGTGGGATTCAAATAATTTAAAAACCGGTTCTCTGCTTGGATCCTGGGCACTGCGCTGCAATGGAGAAATGGGAAATGGAGGGGCCGGTGTGAGGGAAGGAGGAGGCCACCTTCCCTCTTTCTTCTCCCTGCTCCTCCTTTGCTCGCACCAGCCGCTCCTTTTTCTGTTACTTTATTGCAGTTGCTGCAGTGGAGAAACAGGAAAGGGAGCAGCCAGCATGAGGGAAGGAAGAGGAGCAGAGAAAAGAAAGAGGGAAAGCGGCTTCCTCCTTCCCTCACACCGGCCCCTCCATTTCCCATTTCTCCATTGCAGCGCAGTACTGCACCACGGAGCTTGCCCCACCCACCACCACCCAGATGCCCTCCCTTCCCCCAAGTATTTCTTTACTAACCCAATTTCCAGCTCCATCACATTTCTCCGTCATGTTTTTTCATGAGAAGTTGGAATTGATTGATTGAAGGGTTTTTTTTAGTCCCACAAACTTTTGTTTCCCTGCACACGATGGCGAGAATCATGGAAAAATGCAATGGAGCTGGAAATCAGGTTAGCAAAGAAATGCTTGGGGGAAGCAAGGGCATCTGGGTGCCAGGCACTGAAATGCATCCATCTTTCTCTAGCAGCTGCCCAGGCCTGCCGGAGGGAAGGCCAGCATCTACTTGCACTTAAACACAGTGGAATTCCAACTCTGGACGGAAAGGGGCAGCCGGCATGGGGGCTGCAGGCAGGATGCCTGCTTGCTTCACCACCTTCCCTGACCCTCTGGAGCTCCGACAGTACTTTGCCCCTACTTTAACCCTCCGCATGTCTGTTTGGTTTCCATTGCTCCTCTCTTCGACTTTTGGTTTTCTTTTTCCCCACCTGGAAGGAAGTTGAATGAAAACCAGACTTGTTCCAGAAAACACAGATTTATCGTAACCAGTTCGTCGAACTCAACAAAAAATTAGGTATTGGTTCTGCCGAACCAGTGTGAACTGGCTAAATCCCACCACTGGCTGTGCCTCTCATGACAGCTATTTTGTGCACATTTTGAAAACCAAGTTCTACATTTATCACTAAAGTCATATATTATACTGGCAAATCCTTGGTACAGTATATTATAAAAATACAAAGTTATTTCTGAGTGGAAAGGTGGGATTTTCAGAGATTCTTGAATCAAAATTGGGATTCTCATGTTGTCAAAGAATGAGACTCTGTGCATTTTCTTCCGGAACAGAGTTTTCAGTCAACTCTTTCAGCAGAAGAGGAAATGGGGAATTAACACTGGCAAATGAGGCCTCTGGCTTTTTAAAGTCAGGTATGAAAACCAAAAGAGACAGACCTTCTGCCCTTACCAACTAGCTGACCTGAATAGGAACAGGAATTGGTGTATTGATTCTCAAGCATCAGCTAATGATGAGCAGTTTAGTGGGTCATTCTAATCAGTATTCACTGAAGCTCACCGGTAGCCCACTTCAAGTTGCCATTTCACCCCTGCCCATTATGCCATTGTAAGAAAGTGTATGTATCTATGTATGTATATTGTCCAAAATATTGAGGATTAAAGGTTAGTAGACTATCCTACTACTATGTTATTCCAACAAGACCAATTTAAGAGCTTAAAGAACAAAGCTAGAACAGGTTAAGCCTAAAATACCATGTTCAATCTCAAAATATGAGAGTTCTCTGATGATATTTCCTTTCTAAAATTTTCCTTTTCTTTTCCTTTTAAAAAAGAATGAAAATTTGCTCATAAAAATAAATACAAATCACGTTTCTACTTTCTCATAAAATGCAATGTAGCTAGATGATTTTGTTTTAAATCTATTTCTTTTTATTTTCCCCTTCCCATATGCCCGTAATGATAAACATATCACAAAGGAGACCCCTTGAGAGCTGTATGCAACAAAATTTCGTTTTAATGTATGCCGATTAGTGTACGTTCAAAGTGACAAATAAAGTTATTCTAAGTCTAAGTCTAAATGCGTCACAGGTGACACATCATGTCATTTTAGGTGACAGACCAGCCCTCCAGACACTTGAGAAGTTGTGCAGGAGGGCCCTGCAGCCTACTACAGCCTCTGAGCCTCCAAAAGGTGTGGAAAAATGGGAAGTGCTTTCTCCAGTCTTTTTGAGACTACAAGGCCAAATTTTTCTGAAGTTTCCAGGCCTCCAGCAAATCAAAAATTATTTACAATTATGTAAGTATTTATTAAGTAATAAATTTAAATAATTGAATTTACCTTAATTTATTACTCTTTGTTATGAGTTGTTTGTATTTTGTCCAGGGAGGGGAGTGTGTGATACATCAGCAGAGTCAAGGTAGACATTTTCTGAATTTTTAAAATATCAAGTCAAAGCATTCACCATCATTGCCATATGCACATACCAGTGGTGGGTTTCAAATTTTTTTGCTTCCGGTTCTGTGGGTGTGGCTCAGAGGTGGATTCCAGCAGGTTCTGACCAGTTCTGGAGAATCAGTAGCGGAAATTTTGAGTAGTTCGGAGAACTGGTAGTAAAAATTCTGACTGGCCCCACCCCCATCTATTCTCTGCCTCCCAAGTCCCAGCTGATTGGAAGGAAATGGGGATTTTTCAGTATCCTTCCCCTGGATTGGGGAGGGAATGGGGATTTTACAGTATCCTTCCCCTGGATTGGGATGGGAATGGAGATTTTACAGTATCCTTCCCCTGCCATACCCACCAAGCCACGTCCACCAAGCCATGCCACGCCCACCAAGCCACACCCACAGAACCGGTAGTAAAAAATTTTGAAACCCACCACTGGTCTGGTTTGGTGGGTGTGGCATGGCTTGGTGGGCGTAGCAGGGGAAGGATACTGTAAAATCTCCATTCCCTCCCCAATCCAGGGGAAAGTTACTGCAAATTCCCCATTTCCTCCCAATCAGCTGGGACTCAGGAGGCAGAAAATAGATGGGGGCGGGGCCAGTCAGAGGTGGTATTTACTGGTTCTCCGAACTACTGAAAATTTCCGCTACAGGTTCTCCAGAACTGGTCACAACCTGCTGAAACCCATCTCTGGCACATACCCCTAAGAGTTTAATAGGAGACCCTTTTTTAGGTGAAGTAGATAAGGTATTTCAAGGGGCAAGCTGTGTGTGCAACAATGGACATTTTGCTGGTTGTTTTGCTGAATTAGCCCAGGACTTTTTAATCTTTTCCACGTGGAACGATTTTAGTCCTGGCTTTGGTTATTTATATCCTCTCTCCCATCTTTTCGGTACTTCTTCTTTTCATTGTATACCATGTTTATATTTTTCTAAAGCTTTTTTGCATAGGCTTTGTAACTAAACTTTTGACTCTCCATTTTTTAATTAATCCAGCGGCAATCCAGAAGACCAAATTAACTAGCCAACACAATGAAGATGCAGATAGCGAGATGTGGAGAGAGATAAGAAGGTGTTTGGATGTGAGTAACCATTGATTTTATTGATTTATAGTAATGTTGCCAGAAACCAGGCAGTTTACAATGCCTAAACAAATAACTAAACAAAATATAAAAATCCAAACTCATACCTCAAATATCATTTAAAAATCACAAACCAGAAAAAAAGCTCCATTAACCTCCAAGATCCAAATGCCTGGTGAAATAAAATCATTTTGTTACCTTCCTGAAGACAGTGTTGTTGCCATCCTGGCCTCTGGAGGCCAGCTCTAGTAATGCAGGGATGACGAGAAAGCTTTCCTTTGGGTCCTCACCCATTTTACTTCCCAGGAGAAGGGGATCCAAGGCTTAACTGTACAGAATCAGGAAAAGAGATAATTCTGTGATTTGCTAGGGATAAAGTCATTTAGGACTTTGGGAGATAACACCAGCAATGACACAATAGTAGCATCATCGATCCAAATCATTGTATTTTTCTGCTCTCCATCAAATCACTACTTCACGGATTGCAGATTGCAAATTATATGGCAATAGTATCAGTGGTGGGTTGCTACTGATTCGCCCTGGATCGGGCAAGCTGATAGCAGTGGCAGCGGGAGGCTCCGCCCACCCGCCCGGATGCTTCTGTACATGCGCAGAAGCGGTGCATGCACACACAAGCGCATGCGCGCGCATGAGCAAACCAGTAGCAAACTAAATTGAAACCCACTACTGAATAGTATGTTTTAAATATATATTTGAAACAAAGATTGGACACCTAGACTTGAAATTCAAGCAGGAGGCAAGTTCTATGAATACTTACTACAATGGCAGGTTCCCCCTTTCCTCATTATTTTGCTTTAGTGGTATTTTTGTTTAAAAATTCATTTTATGTAGATATTTTAATGCATGCATATGTTTGCAGGGTAGGGACAGACTTATCAGGATAGAAAAGAAGAACATTCTTCCCAGAATGATCTGCAGATCTCAGACTGATCATTATCTTGTTGGGCAAAGAGGTTGGGGAAAAGTTTGGGATGATAATTACTCGATAGAAAGAAGGGTGGAAGGCACAATTGTATGTTTTTCCTTTAAAAAAAAAACATTTCTTGTTTCTCTATTTCTTATTTTCTGTCTTAGTTCTTGTTTGTTTTATCAATAGCATACTTCTTCCAGTTTTGAATGACACTGCTCAAACTTGTATATACATGTGAGCCAGTGGCAGAAACTAAATAAATAAACACACATGCACATGCACATGCACATGCGCGCACACCAGAGGTGGTATTCAGCCGGTTTGGACTAGTTCACCTGAACCGGTAGCAGAAATCGCAGGTACCCGTCCCCATCCCAGCTCTATGCCATGCTATTTAGGCACGTTTTTGAGACTGGGCACACGTGCAGAAGGCCGGGCATATATGCGGAAGGTGCGCATGCGAACAGGGCACGCACACGCATGAAGCAAGCATGCGCATGCATGGCAAACCGGTAGTAATCTAATGTGAAACTCACCGCTGGTACACACTACATTCCAGCACGCAAACTGTACCTCAGAATAATGTGAAAATAAGATAGAATAGACTGATTATTTAATGTACATAAAACTGAAACAAATCTGAATGAGATTTACGTATTGATCCTGAGTAAGAATTACTGAAGTCCATTTTTATTCAATTAATCCGTTCGATTATTTATTAATCAAGCAAGCATTTAGGCAGTTTGTTTGCCACATTTATGTCATTCTGTGCTTTGAAAGTGCAATATTTCATGCTCTGCTTTCCTTGGTTTTTCTGTAACTTTCACATGCTAACCGCTCCTTTTCTTACCAAATATCTCTATTTAGGCTCTCCTTCTGACATCACTGACCCTTGGAGGGAGGGACTGATAGCAAATTGAACTGGAATCTTATTTCATCTTGGAAATTTTAAACCATTCACTGTTTATACCTTGTCAACCAGTTTTCCGAACAAACATGAAACCTTCACTCTTTCCAACAAATATTGCTTCTGTGAAGGTCAGAAAACATCTTACACGGTTTGGAAAATGTGGAGGTAGTGGTTTCAAATAATGATGAAGAAGAAGAAGAAGAAGAAGAAGAAGAAGAAGAAGAAGAAGAAGAAGAAGAAGAAGAAGAAGAAGAAGAAAGAAGAAGAAGAAGAAGAAGAAGAAGAAGAAGAAGAAGAAGAAGAATCCAAAATAATGCAGATGTTGCTTTTTCTGGGGCCAATACCTGCCCTAGTTCTTTTTTTTTAATGGATCCAAATTCCTTGTAGAGGGAATGAACAGCCATGCCAACTTCTACAGGGTCAGCAGTACCCTGATTTTAAAATACTGCATGAAACACCAGCAATGGCATAAACCCAAAGAAAAATCTGTTGAATTATTTTGGAGAATGATTCCATACTTAACGTTAATCGATAGAAGAAGCTTAACTTCTTAAGGCAGAGAAGCGTCTGGGCCTGTGTCATATTTCTCATTCTTAGGTTCAGAAATAGACACTTTTATTTTGTTTTGTTTTTTCACTGATGCTTTCTGATAGAGCTCCGAATGCCACTCCAATTCTCAAAATTGTTAGCAGCTTTTACAGGCAAAGCTGAGTGTCCATCACTTTGAATTTTCATTGTTGCATCTGTTTCACCATTTTAACTGCAGCAGGTTGTATTACAATGAGGCCATTAATAGGGAAATGGATACAAACATTTTTATTTCAAATAGCAGCTCTTGGAAAAGATCTGGAAAACAGAATCAAGCCATATGATTGTTAAAGAAAGGGGGGTGGTAGCTGAGTGCCAGCAGGCAGTGTGCCACTATTTGTGAACATCTTTTAAATACAAATACCTTATTAAGACGGGCATTGGGGAGAGAAGCAGGGGAACATGTACAGGCTATTTTATGCCCTTTTCCATTTTCCCCCTCCTTTACTTATCTTTCTAAATAATTAATATGCCTTTTAGAAAGTTTGACATAAATGTCAAGCTGAAATAAAAAATATATCAATAAATATAATCATCTATCTTTAGACTGAACAAAAACCAAATACCGAGTTTTCATTCAGGAAAAATAACCAGCATGTAGCAACAGTAATGCTTATTAAGGCTTTCAGTTAATTCTTGTTCCATTCCATACGGTGCAATGGTCACAAACAGAATACATCAGTAATTATATTTACCTACACAACATCCTTTTAGCTTCTTAATTTCCTAGAGATGGAGAAGCAACAAAAGAATATGGGTAATGCACCATATGCTGGAAACCAAGAGAAAGCCTGAGTGCAATTTAGATACAAACAAATAAACTGTGTTCTGCATAGCCAATTCGGAAATGGACCTTGCAAAGAAATGCTTTTCTAAATTTTATCTTAATTTTTTTTTAAATTAAGGTTTAATTTTAAGATTTAATTTTGTTATAAAAAAGAATTAAACTATTGTATAGAACTCAACTAAAAGAAATGTTTGAACTGTTTTTATTTTAATTATGGATAGCTTTTTAATCAGATTGTAACGTTATACGTATTTTCCTCTTTGTAAAGCTAACTCGGTCAATTCTTACATGGCTATTTTGATCATTAGGTTAATTAAAGCGTTTCAAAACTTTCTTCCAATTAAAGTGGCAATCAATTTAGTTTCTAATACTTAGAAAAATAGCAGGTGGCCAATACTATTTTAAAACGATACATTATACAATACAATACATTATAAAATTATACATTCAGTTGCATGCAGGTGAACAGCCTTTTACAAATTGATACTAGCTATAGTAGATGCATGTATAGTCTTAAATAAGAAAAAAAGACAAAAATGCCTTTTGTTTCAGAAATACTTGGCACACTTGTAAATATATGCCAATTTAATCAGTTAATAAATTAAAACATATTTATAAGACTCCTTTAAACCAGAGACCATCATGTTTAGATGTAATGAAACTGAACTGTTGTAATTCATAGTAACAAATCTGTTTTAAAATTCATGCTATTTGAATCATTTTGAAGGGTGGAATTATGAATTGTTCCCAGAAGTATACATATTAAATATTTTACTTTAACACATATTTCATACAATTCTTCCAAATTGAACTTAAAATAGGAAATCCTAATGCACTGTTATTTTGCTTCTAAGTTGTTTAATGGCTGTGTAAAACAATCTTGTAGCTATATCCCAGGGCTATCATTCCTAAAAGTGTTCCAAAGTACCCTGTAATTCAGGAAATGGAGTATTGATATTTAATTCCTTCAGATTTAAAAATAAAAACAGCAGGCACAAAAACAGAAATATTCCCTAGAAAGCTGAACCATTTATTTTGTAAAGATTGCAAGTGAAGGCTTTCTATGAACAGCTTCAGTGTGTTATCATGAGTCTTCTATGTAACAAATTGCATACTGGTTGTTCATAATTTTTTACATCACATTATCTGCAAGCATAAATCGCATTGATTTGATATACCTTTTTTTAAAATGTGGCATGAGAATCAAAGAAAAAAGCAAGAGTTAGTTATTATTCTCTTGGGATCTCAGTTTTTAACTTTTGTTACCTTAACAGAAAACAATAAAAGCTTTTAATAAATTTACTGATCTGTATGATTCATCCTAAATGTTATTAATATGTGTATTTGCACTTCGACTCTTTTATTGATTTTGCTTGGGAAAGTATTTTTGTTTTATGCATATTTTACTGGCACAGATTATAGCAGTTTGAATATAATATTTAAGTGTGAAACTTTTAGAATTATACCTATAGAATTACAGCCATAAGCTTTTATTAAATGTTACATTACATGTGTTCTTGTCCTACGTACAGCTGTAGACTTCTTGCATCTTTTAGAAATAAGGGTTCTTACCTTCTTCTAGAAGGGGAGAGAAAGAAAAACAATTCCATTGGCAAATATCATTTTTAATGTAGATTTATAATCTAGTACAACACATAAGCATGCAGAGAGCTGAGAAGAGTATATAGCAGTCTGAAATTAGTCATCAGATTGTTACAATTACCAATTTAGATATGAACATGACCATGACAGATACATTTTAAATATTAACCATGTTTAAATCTATAGATAAGATTTGACATTTGCATTGTTTGTCTAATAATGCTACCAAATAATAAATAAAGTATTCCTAAATCAGGGTGATTGCAACATGTTCACCTACTTAAAAGTATTCCATAAACAGATCACAATATATAGTATTACAATATCCAATTTTCCTATAATTTTTGTTACCTATACCCCAATAGTTATGAAACTATTTCTGTTCTTTTAAATCTTTTCATCAAAATTTTTCAATATTATCAATATACAGGCCAACAAGATTTGCTGAATATATTTGAAATTTCTCTAGAGACAGAAAGGAGTTCTCCTTGATCAGAATTCACAACATGGCAAAATACAAATATGTTGGCTCATTATTAATCCCTCCCCCTTTTTAAAATTCTCTTATGGCTATATTATATAGCTTACAATTATTATTGGCATATAGATACAGGTGTTTTTGTATTTCCATTTAAAATATTACAAAAAAAGTTTTACAGTGTGGGGTTTTTTCCCTTTGTGTCAGAAAGTAGTTAAAAATGCTATCCAAAATGTTTTTTCATATTCTTGCCAAGAATCTTGATTCATCTGATTTCCCCCACAATGCATTTAAGCATGGTACCATTTACAAGAAAGAGAATGTTATTTTCCTGAAAGAGATCCTGAAATTCAATTTGCACTGAAATACATTAATTTTTATCCATTTATCCATCCAAAATTATCCAATTTTCATTCATTTATCCATAGTTATCAAACTATTTGTCAATATTGTTCTTAATTAGCTGGCAATTACAGTATGATCTGTTAAAAGAGCCCCAAAATATAAATCTAAGACTCACTTAAGCATTCAGAAGGCTGCACTACTAAAGATTATGTATCTTGCAACATAATTCTGCTGCATATTCTCACCTCCTAATAGAAGGGTATCTGCTCAGGTTTCCTGCAGCCAACGAGACCATCCTTCAGCAGTCCATTTCAGAATCTTCCTCCCTTCCCCCCAAAGTTTCCATTTTTCTTTTCCAAATTGTATTCAACATGCTGTAGTAACTGAGCATGCTCTGTCCTCATAGTTTTCTTGGAAAAGGGAGTTTCTCTTATAATTTGAGGGGGGTTTAAGTTTGTTTGTTTTTTCCCTCCAAAGTATCTTGGACCTTCTTTCGTTTCTCAGTTGTCCTATTAAGGGTCTATTACATTACCTTAAAGAGCCTGATCACAACAAAACAATTGTATGCTGGAGAAGTTTTGGCTTCAGAAAAGATCTGCCCTATGTTGTTGTTGTTTTTAAATGAAGGACCTAAGACCAATTTTCTCCTCCCCCCCCCCCATCTTTCAGCTTTAGTACAATGTTCTTCAACTCAGCAAAGCAGCTTGGCAGGAGATTTCAAACTCTGTTCTGTCTCTTTGAAAGATCCCTACAATAGCTGGGTTGGATAGAGACCAATTGTTGGTGCATTACCATTTGTAAATGCTCAGAGAATCTACTTCTTTTTTTTTTTTTGGCAGCATCTCAGGTTGAAAAAAGGCAGTGACAAGGGTAAGGATGGGGAGAAAGTGGCCCTTATTTAACCATTAGACTCCAACTTGGTACATGCAACATGCCAGGTGTAGTGTACATAGGCATACAGACAAAAATTGGATATAAACAGATCGCAAAACCTTCCACTTTCTATCATCTCATGCAGTCTTCATTCAAAATTAGATGCTTTGCATTTGGAACCCGAAGATGAGATTTCCATTCTACTGATCTGATGCCAGAATCATCACTTTCTTAAGAAACAGTTGAATGGCCTCCTTATGCCTCCCCTAAATAAACAAGAGGGTTCTCTTTTTCCCCCTTCTTTTTGCCAATCGAATCAGACCTTTCCATACTAAATTTGCAAATGGGCTTGGCAGAGCTTTTAAAATAAGAAAAGCAGTAAGTAAAACCTTGTTTTTCCTACCAATAAGGCAAGAACTTATACCTGAAAAAATTAAGTTCATGTTAAGAACCCAGTTTGGATTTATCTCCTGAAAAAGTGATACATTGAGAGAATGCATTCATGAATATCCCTTTCTTCCCCCTGTCATTATTATTCCATTATTCTATGGAAACTGGTGACCTTTCATTGTCTCATCTCTTCCAACCATCTCTACCAGGGCTTGGTGTACTGGAAGAGCTGAAGCACGAATGCTAACATCTCGCTAGATGCAGCTGCTAGTACAATAGGATTAATTTGCCATCGACCAACTCTAATGCCCCTTCTGTTTCATCATCATTCCCCCACCAGGGGCAGTGGTGGAAGCATCTGTTCCGCTGCTATTTTACTGGTGCCATTCGTATGCCACAACAGTGAAGGTCTGTCAGCATTTCCCTGACATGCAAGGCACCCATCTGCATTGCCAAACAGGAGGCATTGCTTTCTCAGTCTGTGAGGGGAAGAAAATCAAAAACTTGTGCTGAAATAGGATGCACACGTTGTATTGTATGGGTTGATATCTTTATACTTGTTGTTAGTCTTATTTGTTCAGAGTTGTATGTGTCTGTGTGAGTTTGAAGTCAGGAAGATGTATATCGTGCATTGATGTTCAGTTTCTACCCCGTCTCCCAATTTCTTCTCTTTACAGTGCTGTTACCATTGTTTATTTTTTAAATGTAATAGATAAGTTTGTATGCAATGGTAAACAGTCATTTAGGTTTAAAGTTGCATCCATAATTAAAAAAGAAAATGAAGCTGGCGCCAAAGCACAAGATTCAAGCCTCCCCCCACCCCAAATAAAGCAGAATTAAGCTTTACTCTAAAAGATTAGTGACTTGCTACTACATTAAAGCTATGAACTATGCTTTACAATTATCATTTGCTAAGTCAATCAGAACTGGTTACATATTTTAAAAAACTAATTTTGATCTTAAGCCTTTCAGCAGTTCCCAAAAAGTTGCACACCTTTTTGCATTATTGAGGTGACCCTGAGGACTCACATAAACCTCCAAGTGGCCTCAATGACTCTAAGAAAGAGCGCTAATGACGAGATGACTGCAAGGAATATAAATCTTTCCATCCTCCACCATTCAGTCAGAACTGAAGAAGCTTCTTGGATGAGAAGCAAAATGTCTTCAAGGAAAAACAAAGTTCAGTTGCCTTTTGAAAAAGCATCTTTGGGACAATCCTGATTTGCAAGTAACCTGAAATCAGAAATCTGCTAACACAGATTTTAACTGAAGTTTACTTTTCCTTGACCACAGAAAAGAAAGAAAGAGCAGGGGAGGAGATATATTCACTGTGTATTATGTTTTCTTTTGTTGTGAATGACATGATCTGGTAATACAACTTCAGATGTGTCTGTTGTATGTAATAGACTAATGTAATAATCCCCAAGTGGCTCCTTTTAATGACTTAATTATTAAATAGAATGGAATGGAATGAATGGAATAGAATAGAATAGAATAGAATGGAATGGAATAGAATAGAATAGAATAGAATAGAATAGAATAGAATAGAATAGAATAGAATAGAATAGAATAGAATAGAATAGAATAGAATAGAATAGAATAGAATTCTTTATTGGCCAAGTGTGATTGGACACACAAGGAATTTGTCTTGGTGCATTCACTCTCAGAGTACATAAAAGAAAAGATACATTCATCAAGAATCATAAGGTAGAACACTTAATGATAGTCATAGGGAAACAGTCAATTATTTATTTATTTTTTGCTTTAATTTATATGCTGCCCTTCTCCGGAGACTCAGGGCAGCTTACAATGCGTTAAGCAATAGCCTTCATACTTTTGTATATTTATACAAAGTCATCTTATTGCCCCCACAATCTGGGTCCCCATTTTACCTACCTTTGAAAGGATGGAAGGCTGAGTCAACCTTGAGCCTGGTGGGATTTGAACTTGCAGTAATTGCAAGCAGCAGATGTTAATAACAGTGCATTAGTCCATGTGCTACCAAGGCTCGTTTTCCTCTATAAACATAATGGCTATTTGGAATCAATAAAATTCAGTGCTAGAACTGAAGTAACAAACAGGTGGTCCAACTCCAAATCTTTTTTAAGTAATAATTTTAACAAAGGTGAGAATTTAAAGATAAAAAATAACACAAGCTAAAAAAGAGAAAAAAGAAAAATTACAAAGTGCAGAAAGAAAAAATAAAGTTAAGAAAAGAAAAAAGTATAGAAAGAAAAATAGAAAAGACATAAAAATAAAAATAAAGAAATAACTTCCCCCTTTATTAACACAAGTACAATTTTCATAATTTATCATCTTCTCTTAATGTACAACAAATAATCTCTTCTTACCATATCTTACCTCTTACAATAAACAAAATCTTAGAAACTCATCATTCGTTCCTATCAGCAAAAGTTCATTAAGGATTGCCAGAGAGAACAACATATTTATTTTAATCTTGATCAAATAAACCTACTTTATATTCCTCTCCTGTACTTTTAACAATCTTGGTTTTTAATCCTTTCAAATAATCTCCTAGAAATTGATTTCTTTAAAAAAAAATGTCCCTTCTCAGGAAATCCTTCAAAATTTTAAGAGGGCTCTCTTGTAAATCTACTATAGAAAAGATACCCATTCCTCTGTTACATTATTACTCTGTCGCTTTTAATTTTTAAAATATCAATCAGCTTCATTTGTATATCCAGTATTTGCTCTTTCCATAACCTTCTTATAGTTTATCATGTTTAAATCCATATTTAGATCAATTTCAGTCTTGTCCAGTAGAGGTTGTCTTCTTCCGAACATCATTGCCACGCCATTTATCTATGATGATATTTTTAAATTAACTTCATTATTCATAAATATTCTTCAGCAAATCAAATGTTAAAGTACTTTGCTCCATTCGGTATTAACAACTCAACTTTAAGTGTTCTTGTATTTTAGTTGTATCTTTAGTTTCTTCAAGTTCCCTCTAGTACAAGGGTCTCCAACCTTGGCAACTTTAAGACTTGTGGACTTCAACTCCCAGAATTCAATGTCCCATCCTATCGTTTTGTCCTCTAAGGATTCCAAACAGCAGCATGTTCCTAGGGAAGGATTCTTATCATTAAGTGTAAAGTCTTATTTCAAATCCCTGTGGACCTTAGTTTTTTTCTGACTTTCCAAAAACACTCTAAACCCTTTTGCTGTTTATTCAAAAGAGTAAAAAAATGTTTAAATCCTTAAACTTAAATAGTTTTAATATACTTAAAACTACTTTTGCTAAGGAAAAGGAGACTCACCTAGTGATGGCAATTTTAAAAATGCCATTCCAAAAGTTTTCAATATTTGAAAAGCAGTTTTAAAAAAAAGTAATGCACAATACAGGATCTAGGCACTGATCTCCTCTTTGGAGATAATTCCAGAAAATAAAAAAAACAAAAATAAAGTTTTCATGAATAAGTTTATCTATAAAATGCTTACAGTTTTACTGTTACTGTTTTATAAAAAAAATAAAGTATTGACAAGGTAATACATTGTTCAGAAGCCATTCAAGGGATACAAAGTTTGCATGACACTTTAGGCCTGATATTACAAATGCAAAAATTTAAAAAGTGCAGACAAAGTTTGGCACAAACTCCAGTTGAAAATTACAGATGCAGATTTTAATGAAATTTCAGAAATATAGATCATATATACTTTTACTGCTATATGAAATTGTATGCAATATATCAGATTATGCTAAATGCCTGATGAAGGACCTAGCTTACACATTTTTTATAGGAAGCATATGCACAAAATTATGTTTAGGCCAGTGATGGCTAACCTTTTTGCCACCGCGTGCCAAAAGCGGGGGGAGCGCAGGGGGGCATGCGCCCACACCCATAATTCTATGTGCCCCACACATGCGTGTGCAACAACCCCCCCCCCCCCGTCCCCCCCCCTTTGGCACTTGATCTCCCCAGGCTCCAGAGCCTCTCTAGGAGCCTGGGGAGGGCAAAAACAGCCTTCCCCATTCCTCAGGAGGCCCTCCAGAGGCCAGAAATGGCCCATTTGCCAGCTTCCGGAAGTTGTCAATCGGACCGTTTCCGGCCTCCAGAGGGCCTTTTGGGGGGTGGGGAAGGCCGTT